AACTTCTATGAGCCGAATTTTTGTCTTCATAGAATTCCTTGTCTCCTAAACATATAATTAGAATGATTAAACCCTTACATTATATATTTTTATCATTTTAATTAACTTCATTAACCTATAGTAATGTTAGAATTGAGAGTACATATTTTTTTAACCCTCTATGGGCCGATTTCTTTGTCGTGTCTAGAATAAAATTTGTGCAGTATGAAATTAATAAATATAAACCTGTGAATACAAATTGACAATCTATTCGATAGTCTTAATAACTTTCAATTCGTCATTTTGTGGTGAAAAGTTAAATAGATCTATTTAACCCGGTATATTGATGTATGACGTTACAGTCACACGGGACCATACGAAGTTTGTATTAGATGTATTGTTCTTGTTTTATTAAGTAACTAAATTATTTTATTTTATATAATTAAAATACTTATCAGAATTGAGATCACATATTATAATTAAAATTATTAAATCCCTGCAACGTGTTTATTTTGCATTGCTGGATTATAAGTATTCTATCAGAAATTATTTAAGAAAAGAAACGTTTTCCACGGTAAATCTTACAAAATTATCACTTGGATGGATTTTTTCCTTAAAGAAGAAAGAAGGTAAAAAAGGGAAAAACGACGTGTAAAGGAAGTATATCGTTGAAGAAAAACGATATTGAAAGTAACGGTGCGCGTGTAAACGTTTGAAGGGATTGCAGTGATAATAAACTGACACGAAAATCACTAAAAATTAAAATCTCGTTAACCATAATCTACGTAAAAGTTTCTAGTAAAAAATAATAATTGATTTCTATTGAAAGGAAAGTGTTATCTATCATTGTACCTATAGGAAGCCTATTAGCACATCATTAGTTTTCCTTTAGGTAATAATCCCCCTGAAATTGGTTCGTTATGTTATTTAAGAGGATTTGCTGCTTTACGATTTTAATTGCTATTACTGCTGAAAAACTGATAAAAGTTCGGCAATCAATAGTCTATTAAACATCGATTATGAAGATCCTTAAATCTTATTAATTAATTAAAAGCTGATTAATCAATGGAATTTAATGAATGTGATTATTCAATAGCTCTCGAAATACCAACGTTCAAGATCCTCGGTCCTCGATTAATTAGTAAGTCCTTAATTATCTCAATAGCTGATGTTTAAAGGTCTATCGAACAACCACCGATAACTGAAATATACAGTCAGTTTAAAATCTTCATCGCGAATCTCACTCGAAATTATGATACAAAAGAATAAATAATATGGAGTTGATTTTCTTTCCAGACTTCATCGGAATGTGATGAATAATATAATTGCTTATGAATAATAATAATCACTTGTACACAATTCTTGCATGAATTTTGTATTCCGTGGCAAGTAAAGAAAAAAAAAGGTAAAAATAAATAAAAGAATAAATAAGTAAGTAAATAAATAAAAAAGTAATAAATAAATACATGAATAAAGAAGCAATAAATTACTTAAAACATAAGTTCAAAAATTTTATTACATACAGAATAATTAATTAAGAAAAAAAATACAGTTTAGCATGCTCAAAGCGAAATAAAATTTTTCAGTTAGCACAGTATAATACTCTCCTTACAAGCCATTTCAAAGAAAAAAGATCATCCGTACACATTGTCTCGTCTCAACAATTGCCTTCTCATCCCTGGCAATTCAGAAATCCAGCATTAGCCATTAAACAATAACGAGCATTGTAAAACCAACTCCGTCCCTCTCTATAAGCACGCTACCGGTCTCGAACACCGGTGGCAAGAATGAACCTCAATTGTTCACTTGCATCAATATCTCCAGAAACGAGCAAAGTAATTAGAAAGAAAGGGTAGAAAATAGGGCAACGAATGGCGAGGAGCCGAGAGGAAGGCAATTATACAAAAAAGAGATGTCTGTTTATGATAATGTGCATTCTGTCCATTAATAAGATGCCAGTTGCTAATTTCAAGGAGGTTAAAATAAATTTAAGGTTTTTCCTATAAAAAAGTGGGAGACTCGTTTATTTATTCTTTTATATTCAATAAATATTCATTAATGTTATTAGTAAATATTTTATTAAATATATTGAACATATTGAATATATTATTATATTATTAAATATTTTATTAAATATATTGAATATATCATTATATTATTAAATTATTATTAAATGTTTTATTAAACATATTAAATCTAATATTATATTCTTATTAAATATTCACTTTTCGTGCTTAAAGTGACCTCGTCAATTTTCCTTTACAAGCTTAAACGTTCCATATTACACACGACTTCCCCAACTCAACAATTGATACCACAATTAGGAGACAATTTAAATTCCTGCATAGTTCACTGAGTTATTGAAAACAATAGTGATGTAACTCCTATTTCCGAATAACCATGAAAAAAAATATTTTATGAAACGTTCTTGCATTAATTAAATACTAATAGTACAGCCACCAATATCTATAATTAATAACCATTAACACTATCAATGACATTGTGATATAATAATTCAAATATTACTACTCAATTTACCTATTAGCATATAACACCTTTAACCCTTAAAAAAATTCGATTATAAGAACATAAGTAATTTCAATTAAATTTGATTGATTAAAAAATACTCTACAACGCATTAACTTTTAATTCAATTGCTGCTGGCAATTTCTCAAATTTGGTTGGATGTTAGACATTCAAGATTGTATTTTAAATTTGATTATATTAGCTTTTGTTGTTTAAAATATTACTGTTAATGCATTAACCGTAAGAAAGGCGGAACAATTTGAAACCCACCTAACCCAAACTGTTAAAACCCAAATCATATTAATCTGATTATATCAACTTTACAAACTATCTCTCTAAATATAAAATATCCAAACGCATCTCCATTTCCAGCGCCCTTTCAACATCACATGTTCCACGATTAGAAACGGCTAACCTAACCTAACTTCATTAAAATCGGTGCTTTGTTCGATCAATTATTATCAAAATAATTACCGAGAGGAATATTTTCTTTTGTTGAAAATATTATGCAACGCTTGCTAATGGAAACAGAGGAATAGTGCAAGGAGACTACTCATCCGGTTCTCAACGGAAGCGAGGAAAGAAGCGACCGGTCCGGCGGCGGTAACGGCTGGTCACGTGGCGTGTGCGCATCGGTCACGTGGCCGGTAGAGCCGCGTGATCCACGTATCGACTTACGTAAACGCAAGCTCCCGACCTAACAACGGGACATTGTATTTTGGAATCAATGGAATCCCACTTGATCGACACCGGACCGTCCTATTATTTGAATTAATTAACGCCGCCTCGCCCGTGTTTCGTAATCCGCGATTCCGTTTAATTAATGCACTCCGGGCGCCATCCCCCTCCCCGTCATCCTCCCTCCGCGATCGCGATTCACCCTCCTTTCCCCCGTCCCTTTTCGTTATCGCGTTTGCGTTATAAGATTAAAGGGTCGTTTTCTGCCTCGATAAAAAAAAGGAGCGAGTCTCTATCGAGAGAGGATTAACGGGGCGATGATAACTACGAGCGGCAAAGGTTATGTTGTTACGTCCATCGATATTTGTTTTCTTTTACGTTCTGCTCTTCTCTCGTGGAAAGAGTGGGATTTCTGAATGATGAGTTGCGATCCGTTAGGAATGGAGAAATGGGAATAACGTTCGAATGGTTGTTTGATCTTAAGTAATAATTATTTGGATTATTTAGTTGTTGCATGTGACCGTTCGAATTTGGTTGGATATTTGGAGGTTTAGATTGTATTTTGAATTTGGTTATTTTAGGTTTTGCTGTTTTAGATTTTATTTAAGGTATCATTGTTTTGGATATCGTTATTTCAAAGTTGGTTGTTTGATTGGATCAATGTTCAGATCTTTATGCAACTTTAGGTAACTTATTTAATTAAGTTTGGGAAATTTAAAAAGTTAAGAGTCATTTTATGTGAAACAATGAACTTTAGAAAAAATATTTCTTTTGTAATTTCGCCCATCAAAATCACTTCACCCTTAACCCTTTCGCGACGGCGTACCTATACCATACTTCGCCACTTTTCGCGACTGCGCGGCTGACCATACCTTGTCGCCCACTGTTCGCTAAATTGTGTATCTCATTTTCTGTGTTACCTAATGCCAGGACTAGCTTTATTTTGAGTTCGCTATTGAAATAAAACAATAATATAATTATGATTCATCAACAAGTGACTGCCGTATATAGGCGGCGTCAGCCGCTGTGATGCCCCAAGTGACTGCCGTATATACACGGCACCC